AAATAAATAAATAAATAAAAGTACAACATCCCCCTTATTTATTTATTTTTTTTTTTACAACTCGTCTACTGCCAATATCCAACTCCTAACCAACTTCACCGTGGTAGTGCGGAAAGCGTCAGACAACTAAAATATTTTTGCTGCGCAATGGCAGTGTGTGGCACGAGCTCAGAAGCTGCAGTCAGGTATTTTGGTGAAGGCATTATGACGGCTGTCGTTTAAAACGCTCAGCAAGATTGTTAATTGGTTAACAGCTTTGAAAAGAGGATAGAAAAAATGTTTTTCTTGGTACTTTTCAATTCAAACTGTCATGGTAAAAGACATGTAATGTGATTTCAAATAGTAAAATTGCTCTTCGGCTGTAAATCAGCAGGCATGACACTAACTCCAGATTTAAGGTGGACACCTAAAAGGTGTTCTAATTATGAAACATAAAAGAGCAGTGAAAAAATTAAGTCACAATTGTGTGAAAACAGGGCTTTTTTATTGGAATCTGCAGATTCAGGGCTGGCCCAAGGCAAAAGCAAATTCGAGGGCTACTAAAGGGCCCCCAAGAGCAATTAGTTTTCTTTTTTTTCATGCACACATAATGATTTTTATCTAATTATAGTAACTACAACAAAGATGATAAATTCATGCATATTTTTACATTATCTTTGATTACGTAGAAATAATACCTTGTTAAATTATAAATTGTGAAAAAGAAAATAGTTTTTGGTGGCCCTCTAGTAGATGGGTCATTCTTCATATGAACTTGCAACGCATAGCGAGACTTCTATAGCACAAATAAAAGGCAACTTGACAAAACTATGTACCAAACATTTAAAATGCAGCTTTTGCATATTGTTATCTACATTTAGTTTTAAGAACACATTTTCAACTTTGAATTTACTTCTTTCTTCAACGATACTCTTTTTTTCCCCCTTTGTCTATTAAAAATGAAACAGAAAATTAAGAAGCATTAAAAAGAAAGGTTGCAATTGGTTTAATTTAATATCTTGTCATTGGGAAAGATTAAATGTTTTCCATAATAAAAGTTAATAATTTAATTTTTGTCTTTTACTGCTGATATTTCATCTTTTTTTACAATATTGCACTGTTGGCATTTTTACAGTGGACTATGGACTAGCTCTACCATATTTAAAAATAAATAGAGAAAAAAAATACATGCTCAATAAATAAATAAATAAATAAGTATACAATTAAGTGCCCCCAAAAATACAATAAATACATAAATCTAGGTAGAAATTAAATTATACAGTGAGACATAAAGGTATATATCTCTTTTAATTAGGTTCTTTATTTAATTGCCTTTCTAATAATTACCTTATTTATTTATTGTCCGTTATAATCTTCAACTTCATTTATTAATTACCTTTTTTTGAAATTTCTTCAGTCCTATTTATTTCTGTCAGTCATGTTTACATTTCTGTATGCATTTCTGCCTCATTATGCAAATGAGGAGGGGTGTGTCTTAGAAGGTCAACTTCTGCCCATTGGTTGGCGACCATCTTATTAACTCACAGAGCTCAGAGTATTAAGTTAAAAGTTCTCTTTTCTGTTGCTGTTGTTCAATAAAAGTATGTTTCAATATCATTTGAGGCGAGAACATTGTACTTTGAAGCCTCACTATATGGCCCATTTACCGATTTAATACGTAATTAAATGTATTTTTTCCTAAGTTTAGAGGACCGCGGCAACCAGCAGAGCTCTGAGGGTAACGGCAGCCAGGTCTGATCCTAGCCCGTCTGTAGCAGCCCTCTCTCGGCATAGCCGTGTGAGAAGGGTCGCTGGCTATGATGGTGATTTTTTTGTTTTAATTGGCAAATTTTCATTTGATTTGTGTTTTTCGCACTGTGTTCATTATTATTCCCCCACTAAATGAAAAAATCAGAATTTATTATTATCTAGAGACTATTAATAACAGGAGTAATGCAGCTCTAGACTAAGCAAGTGTGCGGTGATGTCACAAGTACGCTTTTGTTCCAACTGACCCATATTTATGCTGCGTGCTCCCATTCTCCCAGTGTCCATACTTTCCTGTGTTCTTCTCAAGAACATACTTGGTGAGAACAGGAGACCGTAATCACGCTCTTGTGAATTAAGAAACGGCCAGTGACTTCAGACTCAGCTTCAGACTCTCCTCTCCCTCTGTAGATTCAACAAATTTAGTAAAATGCTAACCAAACAATGGGCAGGAGATGACCCTCTAAGACACACCCCTTCCTCATTTCCATAACGAGGCAGAAATGCAGACAGAAATGTAAAAACGACAGGCAAAAATAAATAGGATTAAAGAAATATAACAGACAAAAATATTATAACATACACTTAAATAAATACTTTAAAAAATAAGTAACTAATAAATAAAGTTGAAGATTATTACGTACAATAAATAAAAAATGGAAGACAGGAAAGCATTAAAGGAGATATATACATTTATGTCTCACTGTATAATTTAATTTCTACCTACATATATTTTTTATGGTATTTTTGGGGGGCAATTAATTGTATGCTTATTTATTTATTGAGCATTTATTTCTAAATATGGTAGAGCTTGTCATCCATAATTTTTAACCATTAAAATTTTTTTGAAATTAAAGTTCAAGTTTGCTTCACAATTAACATGTATTAAATGTAAATATTATATTTAACTCTGGTGTATCCAGACTGAAGTCCATTTTGTACCATATGCTATGATCATGGTTTTTGGACATTGGAAACCAGTGTCCATGTTTCATCTTGACATGACGACCAGAGAAGAGAACGCAAGTTTGATGAATAAACAGCTGTGGAATCTCTGCTATCCCCCCTTTTCAGCCAAGGCCTCCACAGGCAAGTAACATGGCAGCCCACAGGGGTGTGACTTCCCAACCCCCTCTGCGTGAGGACAGAAAAAAACCACAGAGCACAAACCAGATTCTATATCTTTGCCTCCTCTCCCTTGCCCATGAAGCTGGGGTCCACTTGGGCAGGATCTCTGGAATGAATAGAGATCTGGGCCCAAAAAAGACCCAGATCTCCAGAATTCTCAAGGATGAGTCATTATGGTGACTGGTAGGATAATTATCATTGAAGAAGTATGAGTTTATCACACCCTGGTATGGGAGAGCCTGCCTTGCTGTTAGCTGCCTGCTAAGCTGCTGGATGAAACTCAAGCCTTCCAGTGGACATGGACAAAAAGTTTTGCAGGTCTAGCATGATTAGGGACAGAACAAACAATACGTCTTTTGATGATGTTGATCAATTCATGTCTTTACTGATGAGTAGAGACAAGCTAACAGGATGGAATGCATTCTATGCTATAGTAATGTGTTTTGAGCTGTTGTTGAAGCTTGGACATGCTTTATTTCACTAAGGGTTTAAACACTGATATAACATTAGTGTTCATGAGTTCCTCATATGCTAATTAATTTAAAATATCCATTACCAAGTATGACCAAGAGTCATTTAGTGGAATCCTGATGTCTATTCACTACTAGCTATTCAAAAGAGGGTAAAGAATCATTTAACTAAAGGTTATTGGTTCTTCATTAAGCAAATAATTTAATAATGTTTAATTTTTTTATTCACCTCATGGATTTGCATTGTAAATTGGTCTAAAAACATTACAATTTCTCTAAATTAGTGAAATGCTAATTTGATCATATCCCAATTTCTTCCAGATAAACTTTGGTTTTCAAACTCAAAATTCATATTAAACTGTGATATGGTTTTCAACCATGTTCCCCTTCCTCTTTGTACATAGAAGTTTAGTTTAGTTGAGTTTTACTCGTATTAGTTAAGAGTTTTAAACTGAAATATGTTTGACTTGGAGCTGAATGATTTTTGTTAATAAACTTTTATATTTTGAACAGAAGTTGTGGTGAATTTATTCCATGTATGTGCAGACTTAACTGTTTGACCATGATTAGTGCTTGAATCACTCTTTCATTTATTGTTCTAAAACACAGCTAGTAGGGCGTGTGTTCATAAACAATATTAACAGCCGAAATAATATCTGATTAAATAAGATATTTTACCACCCCTACCGGGGAGGGCAATAAACATCCTAAAGTATCATAAATATAAATTCCCAGCTGCCTGGGAATTGAATAGAACATCAAATCACAACACCATGATTGGCACAGCACCTCATGGTGCCATCAAAAATTGTCCTTGCTTTCTACGCTCGATCCATGAGTGACCTGAATCACTGGGTCGGGTTTGGTCGCTCCGTCCCCTGCCGCCGGGGTTCCCGGACCAGCACCGGAGCTCACGGCTTGGTTTCCTGCAGCCCCCCTGCATTTACTGCATGTTAATTTCGGGGCGTAACAAAAGTACAGGCCTGAACCAATAAAGATAACATCCCCGAACTGACGTCAATTCGGTGCTTCGTTTGTATTCGCCCGTTTTATGGTGAAAGTTTGGAATTGTGAGATTTGCAGGTAAAGGAAATGATGGGGTTTGAACGTCTCTGTATGTCCATTTCACCCACTGAAATTATTCATCATTGACAAAGTAAACTCGGTTTTGCATTCAACGACCTTTTAATATTTTCATGTTATCAACACAGACCTTTTAGTAAGATTTAACCTTAGAAACATTTTTCAATTTATGCTTTGAAGGTCTCCATGGATTAACCAAAGGCAGAAACAGGATTTATACTATATGACAGAATTATATGAGAGGATTATGTTTTTTCATATTTTGTAAATCAGGCAGTAAAAAGATCACTTAACTGAAGGCTTAAAACAAGGAAAAGAAGATGGCCTAAGAGAGAAAATGGAGAGTAAGAAACCAAAACCCCATTGGTTGTCAAGGTGGTGAAGGGGGTTGTGCTGGTAGTGCTGCTGTCATTGGCATTCACGGCTGGAGACAATATATTCGATATTCCCAGTGTACGAGTCAGAAAGGACTGAAAACGATCCAGTTTATCAAAGATCATCATAGGCTTGTCTCGTCTGCTTCTATTGGAGGTGTTCGCCAAGTTTAGCACTGCAGCTTGGAACCAGGTCCCATCCTTGTTGCACATCAGCGGACCACCGGAGTCAGTCTGGAAGAGAGAGAAGCTGTTTCAGACTGTCAGACTAGTATCTGCTACAAATCCTGACATTATACAGACAAAATGAGGGCAAATTAGCCAGCTTCCAGGTTTCCAACTCCTATGATTGAAAAACATGAAGCATTTATCCTCCAAAGTAACACCTGTACATCAACAACAAATAGTTGGAGATGAGAGGTCCGTTACAAAACAGGTTTATTGAACTTAGACTCAAATCCTCGACTCTGAATTGATCCAGCCTGAGGTTGGAAACTCTGTTTTCAGTTTCATTCATCATTGATTTACCGGGTCACCATGACAATAGGCAATGTGAAGTGCCTATTTCACAACACTGGAACTAGAGATTTTAATGAGGAATTAGAACAAAAAAAAATGAGAATGTGTTTAAAAGACAGAGCAACAGCACTACAGCGCCAAAGGAGAGGGAGATAGCATTGCAGAACACTACTGCTTGAGTTCATGCGTAAGTTTATATGTTCTCTGGTATGGCAGGCTGTTTGACACAATTTAAAAGCACTCGCATCTCTGTTGTTCCATTTGGAGATCACTCTACTTTGTCAAAATCACACTACTAGATTGAAATGTAATAACATATTTTTTAAATTAAATTTTTTGATGCAAAAACAGAATTTCAGAAAGTAAGAAAACAAAAGTGTAAGATTTAGGTTTTATATACCTAGAAATGTTTACACATTTTAGTGACTGTTTTGACATTAATCAAATGGCTGAATATTTATTCATGATATCTTACATACATTCCTTCATAGTCAAAATTATACAAATGCTGATCAGTAACAATGGGAATACGGAGGTCAGAAAAAAATTTCTAGATATCCAGAATGTTTATTTTAGACAGAAGGAATGTAATTTTGTTTGAAATGCTCATTTTCTAGAGGGAAAAATATATTTATGATTAGGCCTGATCGATAAACTGAATATATACCATTACCAATATACACTACTATAATCGGTGGCAGTATTCCCATGTCATGTTGGTAAAAGAAAAATATCTTCACTTTGCTGTTTTGCCTGTTTACGCCGGTGGCTGGTATTTTCATATCCCTTTAAGACACTGTAGCAGGGAGGGAATCATGTCACTCCACCGGTCCAGTCAGAAGCATGAACAAGAAAATAGCGAATGAGCCCAGTGAAAAAGTGTCTAACACCTCTGTAAACAATACACATCATCCTGTAGAGCGCGTGCAGAGAAGAAGGTGAGTGCAAAGAGAAGAGTTAATCGTTCGGCAGACAAGTTTTGAGGTAGGGTGTATGAGTTTAAACAAATCACATTGTTGCTTGCAGCCCTGGAGCCACGGGTTGCCAAACCCGATCGAAGTACAAAGATCGAGCCTCCTTAATCCTCATCCAAGTCTGGTAGCGGCTCCTCCCAAAGGACATTCTGGTTTCTTTGCATGATATACTCAAGTATATGTGAAGTTTTCAATAATATTCTAGTTTATCAAAATTAACTCACAAATAAATCAAAATTGTGTGATTGTGTATATGAAATCATACTTTGACAGATAGCATGTTTTAGGTTTTACAACTATGGGAAACATAAATTCAACGATCTACATAACCCAAAAGTGGGTGAGAAGTATTGGCATGTGTACCTTCTCCATGGTGAATGATTGTGTGCAGATGCTGTCAGATGATGATGAATCCCCACAATCAAGTACTGTTGTCTCGAACTGCTGCAGAGCTTGTTCTTCTAATGGTGGTGAAATAAGAAAACATTTATTTCAGGTACATTGAACTAAGTTGCAGTGTTCCTGATTGATCATTGTGTAAATATTAACAATGCTCTCAGCCTTTGTGTATCAGGCTCACCTCCTCCTCTTTCAGAGCTCCAGCCAGCAGCCCAACAAGCTGACCCTACTGGGAAAGTTCTTCCATTGTCCAAGCAGATGGGCTGGATGTAGTCGTTCAGGGGGGGTGGGGATGACAGCTTTAGCACTGCGATGTTGCTTCCTGTCAGGTTGCTCATAGTGATATTTATCACATTCAATGACACTTCAAATTTGTTTGATCCGTTCTGCTTCAGACGACCCAATACGACTGTCCACTCAGACGCCTCATTTGAGCTGATGAACAGAAGATGGACTGATTAAGGGCTAAAAGGGTATTTCAGCATTTTACCACTTTAAAATTGCTATTGAGTTAATACTAATTCTCAAAATCTGTCATCTTCAGCATCAACTTACTCTACAAAGCAGTCAGCATTGGTCAGCACAGAGTTCTCAGACACTAGCGTCCCTCCACAGACATGTTGGCCATTTCTCTGCAAGCTCGCCATCCATGGCCACTCGCCAGCTGATGTCACTGAAACACCTCCCAAAATACGAGAACGCAGTGGGGCTTGTCCACAGACTACAGCTGAAGAAAAAAAGAAACAGGTGTAAAATGTTTCCAAACATTTCCATCACACCTCCAAGCATATATATATATATATATATATATATAT